TCATTGTAAGTTAAATCAATGCATTGTAATCAATTAACATTATGTATACAGGATGTCCCAAAAACTCACCGACAGACTTTTCTTGTTTACATGTGTTCACAAATGGGTTGCTGAATAATAAATAATTCCAAATATCCAAATTAATTTTTCATTTAGTTGAACACCATTGTCTTTCGTTTGACATTTTCTTGTTTCAACTACTTTTTTGTATTGGGGAGCAAAAACGTTTCTTTATCACAATAAACATTTCAAAGCTGTCAATTTTAAGACCTTAGTACTATTTTTGTTGAAAATGGACGATAATTTCCCTTTTAAAGACTTAATGATATGTAACTTGCTTATGGTGCTGCAATTGAAATGAAAGAGAAGCTGCACGCTTACATGAACAAAGATATCGGACACGTCCACAACCTGGTATGCCTGCAACCTCGTCATACAACATTGGCTTCCATCCATTGTCGCCTTAGAGAAAGAGGGAACCTAAAAAGCTCTGGTGGTGTTGGGGGTTGTTCAAAAACAGATCGAAAATCAATCCACAAGTGTTTATTATACGGGATTCTCCAAGTCGTCGGTACAGCGTATCCTGCATTAACAACTTCTTCACTCCTACCATATACAGGTACCAGCTTTAAATCCTGAATATTATCCACATCAGTTAGCTTGTTACCAATGGTTTTTGGGTCATAACTTAATAGATACTCACTTCGGAAGAAAAGTATTTTCTTATGGTTATATTAATAGCAGAAACCGCCACATTTGTACGATGAATATCCTCATGGTGTGGTGTTTAGAAGACACCAGCAACAATTTTCTGTAAACATGTGAGCTGGTATTCTTGAAGAGAATCTAATCCTTCATATGCTGCCTGCTTGGTTGAATTCATTAAAGGTGGCAGTATAATATCGACATCCAAGATTTTGTCCAGATTCCACATGTTTTCTTCTTCTTTTAACACATGCTCGATTGCCTTTTGCCAATTTTTCCTTCGTAACAAGTGATATGGAGGTTTCTAACAATGCTTCTACATCTTTTCACTTAAATGTCGTATTCTATCGAGCTACATATCTGTTCGAGAAAGTCTCGAACACATTGAATTTATTATTTAGAATAAATTAATTTTTTTTGTATCATTCTGTATATTTCTACTCATAGTATAGACCCGAAGTGTAACACCTTGTTTTTCCCTAATCTTTCGAAATAACAAAATAAGCCCCAATCAAGGGTAATAAAATCCTATTAGAACGGAAAATAGTCCGTTATAACTTAGGTAGTTGGTACTAATCCAAAACAATTTTAAAAGACGGTTTTTCTCGAGCAATATGCCTGGTACTTCTGGGGGTTTAAGGAGGGAGTCAGAGTTGATAAAAAGGGCATTGCTGACAATAATCAAAGACTTCAACGATATTTCGTGTTTAAATAAAACGTTTATGTTATGTTGAGAATGGGGTGTTAATACACTGCGACCTAAGGAAATGCTTATAGCGACCCTTCCAATCCTATTTTCTCAAGGAAGTGTAGGATTTGAAGTGGCTTCAAGTTAGGTAAATCTCCCTCTTCTATTTGATATCCTCCTAGATATAGTGCCCTTGGATTTTGGAGTGCTACACATTCAGTTAGGATGTGAATGGAGGTTTCGCCCTCTTCCTCACAGAATCTGCACTCACTGTCCTCTACTACTCAGTTTACTTAGGTGTCCTTTTAGTCGGCAATGCCCGGTAAGGATGGATCCCTGTTACAATACGTAGCCTGTTCTTGCTCAGGCAGATGCAGGCTTCCGATCTTTTCTGAAATAAAACGTTTTGTAAGCGGTTAAAAATTACATGGTCCTTCGAGTTTTAGTAATTTTTCTTCTTCGGCTAGACCTATGGTGTAACGAGACGTGTAGTTCTCCTACAATATCCTTTAACTTGTGCTCATATCAATTCAATAGGATTTAGTTTGCAGTGATAGGGAGGAAGACGCACAACATCAATACCATGTGTTTTTGCAAGTTCATCCACTACATAACGTACTGGAGGCTTATTTAATTTCACAATTTCTAGTATTTCTATTTTCATTATCCATTACTATACTATAACTGAACCCTTTGGTAAATGTTCTATCATCTGCATTCATATCTTCATGGTAGCCTCCGGTTTTTTTAGATTAAACTATTGCAGAACCTCGTTTTGAAAATCCGTCATCACTTCCAATATGAGTTATAATTAGACAATTTTCTGTAATCATGTGAGCTGGTATTGTTGGAGAGAATCTAATAGTTCATTTGTTGCCTGCTTGGTTAAATTCAGACAATTATCTCCAGTTTCTACAAAATGTGATGCCTCTATTATTAAAAAATGTTCCTTTAGTTTCAACATAATGGGGCACCTCCGCATTTTGGTTTGAAGGTTTGCCAGAATGTGGACAGGCTATTTCCTCTCCGATGGATTGGAAGAGAAGGACCTGTGGCCTGGCTCGCGAGTTTTCCAGATCTTAACCCTCTAGATTTTTCATTTGGAATTATTTAAAATCTTTAGTCTACGTATTTTGAATAGTTACATTAATTTTATGTAATTCAGTCTTTATGAACATTTTTCAAATTAAAATTATGACTGAAATAAGTAAAACTAACCAAAACCATTTTTCCTTTTTTTCTGCCCAAAGGGCTCATTTGCGGTAATATATTAAACCAAAAAAGTTTGTTTTGATGTCCCCTATCGCCCATTTAAGTTTGTCAGTATGTTTTTGGGGCACCCTGCATAGTATAACAAAACGGAAAAGAAGGGCAGTAATAGTAGGGACAATACCCCAGTATAATTAACAATACAGTAGCGACAGCTTGGGTCGGCTCCTTTGATATCTGAGTGGTCAGATTTTTATTGACAGTTGACGTTTTTGCCACTTATTTCTACACTGAGAAAAGTAACTTCGAAATATCTTGTTCCTTTGTCTGTTTGAATAAAATATCACACAATAAATGAAAGAACAAAACTAAGTCTAAATATGATAACAATGTATTAAAATGTAAATTACAACCAATCAAATAATTAAAACAATGAACGACCATTAATCTATTGACAATCAACAAATGCCAGTTTGACGTATTTGCCGCTTATTTACGGACATGCGCAGAAAAATATGGACCCCTCATTTTAAACTATTATATAGTAAATTTTAGACGCATAATATTGGAACTGGTAATCCTTAAAATTCACATAATTTCTTGATAACAAAATAATATAGGCAGGTAAGCAATATGATGCCTTCATAGTTCAGATTTCAGATGAGTTTGGGACACAGCTTGGCTTTTTTTGGTTCGTTCAGCACCTGTTAAAATTATTAAAATTTATATCATGTTAATTTTTCATTATAATGAGCGAGTTTTTTAAAAACTTGTTATACATCTATTTAAGAACGAAAACTTTATTTTAAAAACAATTATATCAAAATTATATTGGCTGCATATCACATTCATAATCTAAAATCGGCTAGGTAGATTTATTAAGTTTAGTTTGAAATCTTTTGTTACATATAAAAATGGGAAACAATTTTCAAACTTTCTTTCACCAGTGTAACAAAAAGGTGGAGGTCGTAAATTATACCGTCAAAAAGTTTTTTCCAATAACTCGAAAACGGTTAAACAATTTATCATGAAAATAGACACGTAAAAACAAATTTCTAGAAAAAATTACCAAAACAGTGCAATTCATTAAAATTTGATGGGGTTGTCTTCTCCTAAACCCCCCTACACTTTTATAGGTTATTCTTTTGCCTCCATTGGTTTAATACATTCAATTTGAAACTGGCCCTGTACTTTTTCAAAAATAAGGCTTTTTTTTTCAATATGTAAGTCACAAATAATTTATATTTTTTTCAAAAATAAATCTGGTTGGATGATAAAATCATATATGTCAAGTTTGGATCAGTTAAACATATACATACAACTTCTACACGTTGGCAAACATATATGTGAACATTTTTCCTGTAAGACTACCGTATGTTCAAAACCATATTTTCAGTATTTGTAAGTGAAAAAATCACATTATATTGCTTAGGTACTTATTTTTTTGCCTTTTCCCTAACATATCTGAATTTTCCATCTAACCACAGAGATATTCATACAGATGGTTGTTTTTAAAAAAAATTAAGGCTTTGGGCGGGCCTCTTACAATATATTTTTTTTTAACTCATGTTTTTATTTGTAATTACCCATTCACTCTCATTTTCACTAGAATGAACCGGAGCTACAGTTTATATAGGACAATATAATCTTAAAATATTATTCAACGTGATGTTGTTTATATCTATCAAACTGGTCCTCGCTGTTTCAATCGATTCCATGACCATATTTTACTTTTATTGTCAAATAAAAAGATTGATATCTTTATTTAACAACCCCGTCTTCTTTCGGTATTCATAGTCTTGCTGAAAATCAAATCTTTCGTACGAAAGGCACCCATCATGGACTTTTTAGAATTTTCTGAAATCACTAAAAGGAGTGTAATTTGTTTGAATCAACAACTTCAACCTAATGGTGGCTCTACAAGCTCCAATAAGGCTTGCAATCCAAAACGTACACAGTCCTGATGTAAAGGCACATTTAATCATCTCATTCTTCATCTTCACATTAGACAAAAGAGGAGAGACCAGATGTGACTCAGATCCGAACACTTCACGTTGAGTTATGGTTTGAATCGATGGACTGTACAGTTCAAATCTATCCAAAATCGTAGCGTGTATAGCCCCTTTAAAGAACTATATGTTCCATTACTTATTTTAAATAATTATATCCATTACTCAAAAGAAAAGGACCAAAAAGTTTCAAAATGAATGTGTTAAACCAATGTTTGTACAAGAATAACCTAATTGCGATGTCTTATAATAATGCAAACAATTTAAAAAAAAAATTCTTATGGATTTAAAAAATGCATACTTCCAAACGTGCGTGTCGTTTTTGGCCGATTTATCCCACAAAAAAAATCGCTTTTCACAAACGTCCCTGATAGGTAAAATTTCCACAGCATAGCGAAGCTCAAAGTCGACAAGAAGAAGTCCAAAGGCATCACCAGCAAGAAGCCACTAGGCAGCACCAGGAAGCGTTGCATCAAGCGTTAAGTGAAGCGCACGCGCGTTTACAACTCAACCTCCAGAATAACCAGTTGCACAATAACCATCATCAGCAGGTACTTGATACTTAATAGAAAGTTTCTTTGCTATCTATCTGATTATTAATTGAAAAAAGTTCGAGCTCTTAAAGAATTCAAATGTTGCCATATTTTCCTTTTTTTTTATAAATATGGAATTATTTTTGGTTTCTTTTACATAAAACGTTATAAATTAGTTAATATCTTTCAAGACAAAATAAATAGCCGATAATAGGTACTTTACAAACCCTTTCCCTACACAAGTTGCTCAGTCGACTTCAGAGGTTGAAATTCACTCATAAATGGGTGAATTAGGGACACTTTAAAAACACTTAACAAAAAAATTATTGCAAGACTTCTAGCAGAATATCTACGATAGTCTCGCGCAACACTCTATCCTCAAACTGAATTAAAATTACACAAATGTAAATATTTCATGATCGTTAAGGTAGATTATCTTGAAGTACTTTATTTGTGGAAATATCAACACCCTTAAATAGGTAAATACTCAATCCCTTTTTAGATAAATGCTAAATTTGTATATTCTAGTGAAAAATCCTACCAAAAATGCATGTAATATGCATTTTGCTCTCTACTTTTTACATATATTTATTCCGCTCTCTAGTTTTTACATATATTCATTCCGCTCTCTAGTTTTTACATATATTCATTCCGCTCTCTACTTTTACATATATTCCGCTCTCTACTTTTTACATATATTCCGATCTCTACTTTTTACATATATTCCGCTCTCTACTCTACATATATACCGATCTCTTCTTTTTACATATATTCCGCTCCTGCTTTTTACATATATTCCGTTTTCTACATTTTTATAGATTCTGCTTCTTTTTATTTCTCATGACTCATATGAATATTAAGTCATAATGCCGCAAAAAATTCATCGTAGTTACTGTATTTTAAAGACCGCGAATTTCCCATTGGAAATTGATTTTCGTATTGGTGATGTGCTGTGCTGCGTGAAAACTAATTTTCGGATATAGTGGAAATTAGATTATCTCCGAATCTAATTTGAATGAACATTTCTGTTCTAGGAAATTTCCATTGATATTCAACGCTAATATTCGTTTTCGGGGCTCTCATTTCTCAGTAATTTTATTTCATCAAATAAAGGTAGACACTAAAATTGAGAATAATTATCTTCTTTTGAAGCTTAGCCGACAATTAATTATAGAAATACTCTATACCAAAAAAATTAATTAAAATATGTATACAGATATATTTTTACTTACTAAAATTACCTTTTTTCCGGTTCTCAATTTAATATATATTTTTTTTTTTTTTTTCTATATAATAGCATCAACAAATTCACTCACAAGCACCTCTACCTCAGAAAGGAAGAATGCCACGCGCTAAAGCCGATGCAAGACCCAGGGGGCGAATGACTGCTTATGCTTTCTTCGTGCAGACCTGCAGGGAAGAGCACAAAAAGAAACATCCCGAAGAAAATGTTGTCTTCGCTGAATTTTCGAAAAAATGCGCCGAAAGGTGGAAGGTAAGTTATCACAGAGAATTTTTTATACAAAAAAAAACAAATTTTCAAAACCAAAATAATCTTAATATGAAAATTAAAACATAAAACTGGAGATTTTTTAGAAATAAACGAAACATAATAACATATTACTGATTAATGATATAATAGTGATTTATAAGAACAAATCTATGAAACTGACGATTTTTAGATATAAAGGAAAAATCATAATTGACATATTAGTGATTAATGATATTTACGTTCATTATAGTAGTTAACAATAATTATTAAAAATTGTATTAACTCATTCTAATCTTAACAAAGCAGTTCATTAATCTTATGTATTTACGGTTTTTGTTTGAATATGAAATTATATTTTTAATTTTGATTATATAAAAAAAAACTTATACTGGGTATAATCACAAAAGTTAGTTTTGTAACCGTTTAAATTATTTTATTTATTTTTTCCAGTTATAAAGTAATAATGATACCATAAATGCTTTTAGACAGGCCATAACTTGTTCCCTTTCTTACTAAAACTTTTTTTTAATCATAACCAAGACAGTTTTTATATATTTTTAGGTATTGTTTTTAAAACTTTTTGATTTAGTAAATATTAAATTTAATTAATTAACACAATAATATAAACTTTTATTTAATTTAGTAAATATTAAATTCTTTGTCAGTGAACCTGACCCTTCATTTACATTTTGTGTGTTCAAACAAAAATTTGATTTGATTATACCTTGTAATAAAATACTTTGTTATTTAAGTCGAATATGAGTATGGCAAATTTTTATAAAATAGCTAATATATACTTTTATGTCGTGATATTATGACGTATGAAAATTGACACTTATCGGTAATATTAGATGAAACAATTTACTCACAATTGTCATAATATACAAAGTTAAAAGTTAAGAGCAAAACCATAGATTGGGAAAGTGTAATAGAGGACATTTTGCGGCAATGTGCTATCTTCTAAATTAAATATGGCTACTTTTTTGTTTTCAATAATTTTCTTTCGGGAAACTAAAGTTAATGAATAAAATAAAACAAAAATATACATTGGCTTGTAAAAAACGAATCATTGCAAATTTATATTTATTATTCACTTTTTTTCATTAAGTTTTCAGAAATGCAGAAAATTTTTTTTTAGTAACAAAAGCATAAAAAAATTAATATTACTTAAATAATTGTTATAAATAAAATTAAAAATTTTGAAAAAAAAAATACGTGTGGCTCTCGGGGACTGCCGCGGTAAAGCTATTGCATAGCATTTTTTATCAACTTATGCAATTATTTATTTATTTTATTTATGCAGTATTTTTTTCTTTGATATTAATTCAAGTTACACTTTTTGAGCGTGGTGACCGATAAGAAAACATTTTTTTTCGTTTATTGAATAAATGAGAGTTAATATTGCTTAAAATATTTTTATTATCTTACAATACATGTAGGTTATTCAGGAATTTTTATCATTGAAACTATAGGTTTATGGTAACTGAAATAAGAAACATAAGTTTGAGACTTGATATCTTCTAAATATCTGGAAAATGATGGTCCCATATTTTGTTGTGGATTCTTGTGGATCATTATTCATTTTTAAATTAAATTTTTCCGAAATTGTGTCTAAAAAGAGGTAGAATCAGTTATGAGCAGTTAGCAGCTAGTCTACACGCATACGTCTACTCGCACGCACACAAACACCGTGCCGAAGTCTGCCGAACTGAAACGACGTTAGACGATGCACGGCTTTCAACGCCGCACTGCTGTGCCGGTCGGAGTGGGGGGGGTGTTAGGTTTATTTTCGTTACGGATTTTCTTTTTCGATTTTACGGTTTTTCGATTTTTCGAGGGTGTTAGGTTTATTTTCGTTACGGAATTTCTTGATTCGGTCGCCGCACTCAAAGCCCGTGATAAAACCTATGCAATAGCTTAATAATGAAACAGTTAACACTGATAAAATAAAAATTACTATTTTATAAATCTTGGCAAAAAAATTAATAATCTAATATTTACGCCAGCCGGGAACATTTGTGATACCAATTTATTAGAAGCCAGAGAAAGCTCTTCTAGTTCTTGTATTGCATAAACATTTCAGTCCGCAGACGTATATTTAACTCCGCTTCATACTAATACGAATAGAGTCGGATAAAACCTTCCACGGCTTTCAAGTTGAAAGTTTCAACGTCGCACCGCTGTGCCGGTCGGAGTGGGGGGTGTTAGGTTAAATAAATTTTTGCACAATATTTTTTTTTAATTATTAAAAAATATGGAAACACCCATATACCTACGTGAAAAAAGTTTTCTATTTTTTATATAATTTTTAAACATATTTGTAGTCTTGGATTTGTCGCTTTCTTGATGTTTTTCTTCATTGTTATTAAAATAATTGAGCTTTGAAACAGATCTCTAACTTAAATTATTTAAAATTATAATAATTAAAAAATTTATATTTTTATTTCAAAAGCCTAAAAATAGCTTAAAAATGTGGCAAAGTAGGCAAAAAAAAAACCCAAGACTTTGCTCCACCACAACACTGTATTATTTAAAAATAGCAATTTTTTAGTAAAGTGTTATAATATTTCAAGAGCCTAAAAATGTGAGGTGGTTTTTTGAAAATTTTTATATTTTAGGAGCCTAAAAATAGCCCTAAAATGTGGTGTTTTTTGAATAGGGTATAAAAATAGTCTGAAAATATGGCATGGATAAGTCTCATGAACATGATCAAAGATGTAATTAACACTACTTTGTTCACATTCAGTGGCAGCTCGTAACTAAAATATTGGGGGTTCACAATGAATACAGGTACCTAGATTTCAGTACAGATGTAAGTAAAAAACTTTAGGAAGGTATAGAAAGGTATACTTAGATATAGAAAGGTATAATAAACCTAAAGCACTGAAAGTTTTTTATCTACATTTGTACTGAGATTATATTTTGTCATTGTGAACCCCAATCTTTGTTCACATGATTGTAGATTCTAGGGTTAAACCCTTTTTGTCGGCTTATATAGTTTACTTGTTGGTTTGTTTTAGATGCAATTTTGAATTGAATGATACTAAAAATCATGAATTTGGGTTTTCAAGTCTAGGTTTATGACGAAATGGCACTTGTGAACCAGACTATGAAGGAGTTTTTAATTCAGAAAGTCCGTCTAAAAAAGCTTTTCTTGAGGTTAAAATATTATCTTTTGGATACTGTGTGTCCTTCATTTGCCCATTTTTAATTTTAAATACAAAATGTGTCTTCCCTCTGGACGATATTGCCAAGATATTCTCTTCAACAAATAATTTCGTCATTATGATTTTCTGTCTTTTTTCGACCATATAAAATTTAATTCTTCAAAAGCTTGACAAAGTTTTGTTGGTTTTATATCGGGAAAAACGGAATCTTTTATAGAATTAAAAATTTTTGCTAACGTTGGAGTTTCTTTTATCACCAGTTGGTACTGTTATTAAATCTACTATTTAGGAAAAAGAACAACTTGAATGACTTTTCGTAATATTTTTAATCAAAAATTGTTTTATACATAATTATAAAAAAAACCTTAACTACCAGAACAAAAGCAAATAATACGAATCTAAGTGTATGTAAATGTAGATACATCAATATCGCCTAATTGTTCTTTTGATTTCTTCTGGTGTTCTTTGGTCACTTTCCACTGTTCCAGATAACAGCCCGTTCTTTGGTCACTTTCCACTGTTCCAGATAACAGCCCGTTCTTTGGTCACTTTCCACTGTTCCAGATAACAGCCCTCTCCTTATGAGTATTCATACACATTTTTTTATATAATAGTTTACACATTTCGCGATAGTCGTCAATTGGCGAAATATTGTATCACATTTTGCTCTATATTTTGTTTCCTGTAAAAAAAAATCGAACAAAAAATATTAATATATTTTTTCGGCCTAATATTTAGTTAAATTTATTCGTAACCTTCATGATGAATTGAAATCTTTTATTACATAATAAATTATTAGCTACGGAATTATAGCTAACACGTTTTCGCCGTGGATTTTTTTAAGGGGTCAACATAATTACAGTACGAAATATTTTGACCAGAAAAAACTGGCCTCGGGATATCGAGGAGTGCCAAGTGATTAAAAATTATACGATGTTGAAGAAACCGAAACACAAAGGAGTAGAGATATTTAACAATTTTAAAACATCTCAATTAAAATGTTAAACATTAGAGAATGTGATGAAAACAGATCTTTTACAATAATCAGTTGTAAGTTCTCTTTTTGAATTTTGAATGTGGTGAATGAGAAGGTATCTTCAATTTATTATAATTATTCTCTATTGTCGTTTAAATGTCCCAAAATCTAATCGCAAAATAACCAGAAGACTAACTTTTTATTTAAAACTTCAAATGGACGGCGTTATGTAGAACACTACCAACCCACAATATACCAGATATTAGGTTGAGTGCGGATTTGGGTAATAAAATACACGTTCTACATTCTGTAAGAACCTACCAAGTCTCAGTTAATTATATACCCTATAAAACTATAATATGCTAGCCTAGCCCATATCCCATAGCTTTCTTAAACGAACAAAAACTTTAGAGCTGATTATCTCAGTTTGTTACTATTGAGGGTTGTTAGTAGCTTTTTGCTTAACGCCGTCCAAATGTGAGTCCAAAACCTAAAATGTTAGTTGGTATAAATAACATTCTGTCGAATCCGGTAATTTTAAAAGCTTAGAATTTCGGTAAAGTTCGAATTTGTAGGCAACAAAAATTTAAGACAAGTGATCTAAATTAAAAATTAAAAAAAACCGACTTCAAAAACGTGCAGATGCCGTCACCACATCTTCTCCAAATTTATATATGGCCACCCCTGAGGTACCCCCTTACTAACAAAAAAAGAATCATATAAATAGGACAAGGTGGTAAAGCATTATCGCTAAACATACATAAAAAAATGAAGATTTTGAGGAATTTCTCATGAACCCAATTATTAGATTTTGACCAAATTTATATGGGACCACCCCTGAAGTACCCCCCTTTCTAACA